TCTGTCATCTTTTAGAAGAGTATTTTTGATAAAAGAGAATCGAAAAATACTAGGTCAAGAACAAGAGAGCAAAAGAAAACAGAGTTCGACAAAGAGAGAAGAGGCAGAGGATCGTAAGCTTATAATATTAGGTTATGCTTTGATACCATGTCAAGAAAGCCTAATTGGTATAAAAGTTTTCTTGTTTATTAACATGTTTAGGCATAGCCTTATATACACAATCGGTTAAACCTAATTACATGAATATTGATTACCAACTAAACCATAAGTATATTCTAACTAATTTTTGTTCATGTCTCCCTCAATAAAATGATAGTCAGAATGTCTCGATATGCATATCTGGATATTGAAGTATGGATGAAGCTTGGATCATCCTTAATCCTTAATAGTTATTCACTGGTAGTATGTATGCTTGATACTTTTCTAGATTCCCTCTCAACCTTTTCTTAAAAATGTATGACCTTGTGTCATACTACTGTAACCTTTTGCTTGTTTTTAAAATTGAATAACCTTTTATATAAAAAGAAAGCATTGAAACCAATTATCTAATAACATATGATTTCGATTACAAGTCAAGTCATTAAATACGAACTAAATCAAGTAAAGAAAAGATATTTAACTAGTATTTTAGGAGAGATTTTTTTTTTGGGTAACGTTTGCATGTATCTCTGTTGTGATTTCAAATGGGACTTGCATTTCCCTTTGAATCTGATCTGCGTCCACTCGAAGCGGCTCTGGCTCCTTTAAGTTCAAAAATCTACAAATTTCTCTGCTTTAATGGGTTGGTTCTTTTGTTAGTCAAAATTGATGTTCTTTTGGGTAATTGCACAAATTAGAATATTCGTCTAATCTGGATTTTCAAATTTCAACATTCACCTCGAGTATAAGCACAATTGAAATTTCTGGGGAGTTGGATTTTGCTCATATGTATTTAGATTTTCCGAGTTGTGTGATACTTTGATGTGCTGAGTGTGGCTGAGGGGAGAAATGGAAGATTCGAAAGAATCCACATTCGCATGAGGGACATAGCAAAGCAGAGAAGGTTTGAGATGAGCATGACTCGTAATTGCAAAGGGCAGAATCAGAGTGAAATGAAGACGAGGAATAATGGTGGTTAAGGGGTTTTTTGGTTAATATCCACCTCAAACTCAGCTTCAACAACAACACCAAAAATGTTTCATTTCCCCGAGATGCACACAGAAGTCCAGTTTAATTTGATTCTAAATTGATTTTGAAGAATTGGGTATTAGACTTGTAGTCGGTTAAACCCGGTTAACCAAATTATAGATTGATTTGGTATTGTTAAATAACCGGAACAATGTTTGTATTTAATATCAAATGCTGTAAACAAAATCAATAACAAAAATATTCCTTTTCTCATTTCTTCTTCCTTGCTCTCTCTGCAACGCTAACATCGTATCAGAGCTATTTAGGCTAACCTCAACGATCTTTTTTTCTTCCGTTCTTTTGACCTTTTCTGATCGGTGCTTTTCCCGATCAGTATTTTTTTCTTCTTTCTCGTGAACGATTTTCTGGTTATTCCACCAGATTTCGTATTAATCGCGATTTATCTTTCTTTTGAGCTCCATATCTGTTTCAATGGTGGTTCTTCGTAAGTCAACACGTCGTCTCAACAAATCGACATCTTCCTTAGCTCGCCGGTCTTCTATTCCTGAAGAATCGTCTCCGGCCTTTTCTGATTTACCG